TTATTTCAGGGTTTTTTAAACTTTATTTATAAATTTGTATATGTAAATAACAAAGGAATGAGCCATCCTACATCATAATAAATACTTAAGGAGAAAACAAATCCTACTGTAAAGAACTACCACTAATATAAGAAATAGGTAAAACCTTTATTTTGCTTTTTATGACAGGAATTATGTTTAAAATTACTTACAGAGGTAATTTGTATATATAAAAACATCCTATTCACTAGGTGTGGTGGCACATGCCTGTTATCGTTATCCTGGGAGGAGCTCCTTGGGAGGCTGAGGCAGGTGGATCACGTGAGCCAACGAATTTAATACCAGCCTGGACAACATAATGAGAACCCTGTCTTTAAAAAAAAACTATTACAAATCCAGAAATTTTGATGTTCCTCTCCTCATATTTCTTTTTTCTGACCACTTGAAACAGTTCTTTTATGTGGAAATGGTTGTTAAAATTTAGTGATTTGTAACTTAAAAATGTTTAGACTTGAGAGAATTTTAAATGCATATATTGTACTTTGCCCAAATGCCTCTCTTCATCTGAGTTTCCCCAAACTGTATGCGGAATTTTACATGTAATTCTATATGGCTCCCAGAATATACATAATGTAAAGTTGAAATGATCACAGATATTTCTATGTGAAATTTTTGTAAAATTAATTGAAATAATAAAGTTAGCAAACAAAAATATTAAATCTTCAGACAGTATCAGAGTAATATGAATTCCTAAAAATGCTCCTTAATACAAAGGAATATAATTTAAAATATATCAGCCTAACATAATAATTAATGCTATGAAATTCACATAAAATAATACCTCCTAGAAATTTGTTTTATTTTAAACTAGAAATATACAAGACAGGGGCTGGGGTTGTGGCTCAGTGGTAGAGTGCTTGCCTGGTGTGCGTAAGGCATTGGTTCCATCTCCGACACCACATAAAATAAACAAATAAAATAAAGATATTGTATCCATCTTAAAAAAAAAAGATATATACAATACAGTGCCACATACTTTTATCTTCCAACATTTCTTGACATAGGTGAAAAGTGCCTCATTGAACTTCCCTCAGGAGATTAAATAATAAAAAAAAGCATTTGAGTACTAAATCACCATTGCGTGTTCATCATCAAACATGCTGTGGTTCCATGTCAGAGTCTTACTGTTCTTTGTAGGTAATGTCTGTTTTCTGTAGTTGCTTTTAGGACTTTCTTTCTTTATTATTGTTCCAGGGATTGAACCCAGAGGTATTTAACCATTGAGCCCCTTCCTCAGCCCTTTTTTGTATTTTATTTAGAGACAGGATCTGCTAAGTTGTTTAGCGTCTTGGTAAGTTGCTGAGGCTGGCTTTGAACTCCCTGTCCTCCTGCCTTAGGCTTCTGAGCTGCTGGGATTACAGGTGTGCTCCACCATACTGGGATAGCACTGTACAATCAGTTCTTACCAGTCTTACTGTGCTGTGCCTAGTTGTAGTTTTCTTTCTTTCTTTTTTTTTGAGAGAGAGAGAGAATTTTTTAATATTTATATTTTAGTTTTCGGCGGACACAACATCTTTGTTTGTATGTGGTGCTGAGGATCGAACCTGGGCTGCACGCATGCCAGGCGAGCGCACTACCACTTGAGCCACATCCCCAGCCCCTAGTTGTAGTTTTCTTTATGTTTATCCTATTGTGTGATCCTAGGATTTCTTGAATCTGTAACTTGATGCCTTTTATCAAGTTTCGAGCAATCCCAGGCAATTATCTCTATCCACTTTTTTTCTAGCCTGTTCTTTCTCTACTAGAATTCCAATTACATTAATAGTACACTAAGTAACTGTGTTTCATATATATCTCTTATGCTTTTCTTCTTTTCTGTGCTTCATTGTGACTCAGTATTTTCTACTGACTGACCTGTCTCACATTTTACCAATCCTCTTTTCAACTGTGTTTAATCTAAATATGTCTTCATTCTGGCTATTGACTGGTTCTAAATTGTTCATTTGATTCATTTTATAATTCCCAGTTACCTTCTGGATTTTCCACTTTGCTTTCTATCTTTAAAAAATGTTAAAAGATAGTTATTTTATACTCTCAATCTCTTGTAAATATGTTGTTCATGTCATTTTTTTCCCTTATAGTTCTAATCCACTATTCTACTATAGTGGAATTTTAAATAGATTGGAAATAATCCGAGGCTTTTCCCCAAAAAAGATTTATGATAGCCCACCACAACTGCTCTTTCTGTTCCATTGATCAGAACTGCATCATATGTCTATTCTTGGCCACTGTTCTTGGCCTCAAGGGAGGGCAGATAATATTATATTTTTCTGGACTCATAACTGTCCCCTCAAAAAAAAAAGGGCTTCATTTTCTATAATTCAGGCCTATAAAATGATGACAAATACAAGTAAAACTGAAATTTTTGCATGAGATAGCCAAGAAGACTAAATTTTTCTAAAATATTTATAGATTTGTTTTCCTAACAATTGAAAAGTAGCCTCAAATAACTTGACACTTTTGTTCATTTTTCTTTACTAACAGTAGTACAGTAGTAGAAACTTTGAATATCTAGATTGATAGTAAAGCTCTGAAATTTTAAAGCAAAAATCCAAAATCCTTACTAAAGATAACTTCTATCAATTTTTGGTGAATATATGGCTGTGTGTGTGTGTGTACATATTTATGTGTGTATTGAGGTTGTTTTTACAAATTAATGTATTATACATTTTATTCTGTAACTTGCTTCTGTGCTAAGTTTCATGTAACATGTTTCCATATTTATGTGTTCAATGAGGGTTTTGTAGTTTAGAAATTATACTTTCCTTAATTTAATTCATAAAGCTTTTCAGTTTTAATGTTTCATATCTGCCTATTCTGTCCCTATTGTTTTCTTGACTAGGTTATACACAATTATGTCATTACTGACTAATATCCAAGGAATGTTCTGCTTGACAGGCAGTGGGAGTAATGAACATACTATGTAGGCTCCGACTCGGTTGTAGTGATTCCTGGTAGACTCCCATTAAATATCTCTTTACTTTTAGCCTCAACAGTACTGATTTTAGTTATGAATAAAATGGTTATACTTTTTTCTACTTTCTGGGTTTTAAAAAATTTTTTTTAGTTGTAGATGGACGTAATACCTTTATTTAATTAATTAATTTATTTTTAATGTGATACTGAGGATTAAACTCAGTGCCTCACACATGCTAGGCAAGTGCGCTACTGCTGAGCTACAACCCCAGCCCCTCTACTTTCTGTTTTAATGGTGATTAGAAATACAGTAGGTCTTAGATGTTTCCTGCAAGATGGTTGGGAGTACTTTGTTAGCATATAGTTTCTATTATAAAATGCTACATTTTAAAATAGAAAAACTTTTTTGAGATGCAGATGTTTGTACAGTTGGCTAAGTTCCCTTGTTAGCTAAGTAACACACATGCTGGCATGACAGAAAATATGACTTAAAATTCTAGTTGAATGATATTATAAATTATTTCATTGTGGATCATTAAGGTCACTCTTGAATAGCAGAGCTTGTGAATATTAAAGGCAGGAATAACAGAAGACCCTACTTTGTAAATTATATATGATTTCATAAACATTCGTGCCTAGATTTTTAGTGAATGATTCGTTTCATTTGGTTCCAACTCCACCTGTCAATTTTATTACAGCTTATGACTTTTTTGCTTTAGAGCTTAACTTTTTCATGCAGACTTTTGTATTAGGATCCATCAATATTTATTGCTTATCACTTAACTCTGCATCTAACCCTGATCTTTATAGCTACTGGACCTCAGATTTCATTATTATATGACAAGTCCCCATAAAATAGGGCGATTCAGGTTGGAATCTTTGAAAGAATGTCTGAAAAGGGTTGTTCAGAAGAGCAGTGATAGGTAATAAACTTACTGCCTCTGATGAAATCACTCGCATCATCAGCCCATAGACAACACTCCCCTGTAATCTCTACTTGGCACTGTGCCAGTTTGTCTTCTCAGTTGGGTGGAGGTAATCTAGCACTAATTCTGTTCACAACCTGTTTAGAATTGTTCATCACCAGTGGAAGGGAAGACAAACCAAGCTCTAGATTACATTGTTCCTAAGCCTTTAATTTTTTAAGAAAGTGACAGTTCATGTTTCTTTAAACTTACTAGATATTACTATTATTATTATTATTATTATTATTATTATTATTATTATTATTATTTTGCAGTTCCATCTCTTAGTGGCTATTCAAAAAAATACTCCTTTATTTTTCTCTCATCTTTCCATCAACGTCTTGGCAATATGTTGTTGTCTTTTATTTGTTGTCTCCCTAACTAGTTGTATACTGTTTGTTTGTTTTTTTTTTTTTCTTTTGGTTCTGGGATGCTCAGGATGTTGCACATGGTAGGCAGGCACTCTACCACTGAGCTACATCCCCAGCCTTTTAAGCTTCTTGTAAATAGTAAGTGTGTCTTAGATGTCTGTAGATTCCTACTTGCTCCTATAGTGCCTCCCCAAACCTTGTAGGTATCCCATTAATCTTGATTAGTTGATAAAAGTAATGATTAACAAACAGTCTTACTGGATTTAACTTAGAGTTTTATTGTTTTAGAATTATGAGATTTTTTTTTCTTTTTATGGTATTGCCTCAGTTCTTATTGCTGGTTTATCTTCTCTGATAAAAACATCCTACATTTTATAATTTAATTTCATTTAAAATTTCCAAAAACATAAGTAATATCTTTCTTTTTGATCTATGATAATTGAGGTATATAACATTTTATTGAACAGGGCATAAAATTCTTAAAATTGAATACCATATTTGATACAAACATTTGACTTTTTATATCTTTAAGAACTTTAATTTACATCAACAGTTATTAGTTATAACAAATAGTTTGGTCAAAGCTATGTGCTACTGAAAAGTCAGTGTATAATTAAATATGGGTAACGTTTGAAAAAGTACATACTCTTAGTTAATATTTTGTCAACAAAATAGACTGCTCAGTTTATAATTTTTTTTGTCTTTATAGGGTAAAGTTCACCTTGAATTAAAGCTGAATGAACTGATAACAGAGAATGGGACTGTGTGCCAGCAGCTTGTTGTACAGTAAGCATATTTCTTTTACTAAAATCAGCTAGAACTAATTCTTCATTTTGTGTTCTTAAACCAACTTCTTATTTTAAATACTTCAAAAATGAAACTCTGGGCTAGGTATGTAGCTCCAGTGTTAGAGTGTTTGCCTGGCATTCCTCAGGCCCTAGATTCAATTCCCAGTACCACAATAAAAAGAAAAAAGAGCCAGGCACATTGTCGTGTACATATAATACCAGCAGCCAGTAGCTTGGGAAGCTTAGATAGTAGAATCATGAGTTCCAAAGCCAGTCTTGGCAAAAGCAAGGTGCTAAGCAACTCAGTGAGACCCTGTCTTTAATTAAAATACAAATAGGGCTGGGGATGTGACTCAGTGGTTGAGTGCCCCTGAGTTCAATCCCTTGTACTAAAAAAAAGAAAAGAAAGAAAGAAAAAAAAGAAATCCTGATGTGTCATTTCTTTACTCAGTTCATATTTAGTTTATTTTTCACATATCTAGTCCACTGAGATTATAATGAGTCATTAATTCATTCAACCAGTTTTTATTTAATTGGGTTAAATGATATATAGAGGCATTAGAGAATGACAGGATCACAGATAAGGTAGCTGCCTACCTGTCAGTGCAGACTTGGAAAGGCTTTTTAGAACAGGACCTCTAGAAACACACCAAGCTTTAAAGACTGTAGGGCTAGAACCTGATGTCCATGCTGAGATGACCACATTGATTGCCACAAACTTTGGATTTCTTTTTACTCTTTTTACCCTTAGGTCTTTTTTTTTTTTTTTTTTTTTTTTAATCATGCAGGCTCTAATCTGCTGGCTTCCAGAAGTCTCCTGTTTTAGCCCAACCTCCTCCTTCTTCCTTCCCCTCTACGTCCTCATTGTGGGTTACCAACTGATAACCTTTGTTCTGGATGCTTTCTCCATCTGTCCTCAGTTGATATCTGAATATCTCTAAGGTTCTGAGGCCCTTCTACAGCCTTCTCAATCTGAGTCCGTGTTAGTTTCTATCGTACCCACATACCTTAGGGCAAGGCTGTAGAAGAGATGTTGTGTTCTTATGGCTGCTCCAAACTATAACTTAATTGTGAAAACTCAGCTGCTTTGAGGCATTTTCTTTACATATTAATGTATACATATCTAATACTATGTATGGTATTATTTAGTTAATTTTTCCTGAAAAGTTCAAAAGAAGGTTGCATACATTATGTCCTTTATCTCTTAATGTATCAGTATGTATTTCCTAAGAATAAGGATAAATCCTAAATGACTCCAGTTTGGTTACCAAATTCAGGAAATTTAACATTGTTGCAATACTTTAATTTATAGTAATAGTATAGTAATAGTTCAATATTTGTTTGCTATTTTTTCCCCTAGACGGAGAGTATGTAGTGAAAGTCCTTCTGCTACTGCCTCTCCTGTTTCTATTTGTTTATAATAGTCATTTAAAATGGAGTTAGTTGAGTTGGTTTTGTTTGTTTACATTCCATTTTACGTTCCCCGACATCCTTATTGGTTTAATTTTTTTTAAAATATTTATTTTTGAGTTGGACACAATAGTTTTATTTTGTTTATTTTTATGTGGTGCTAAGGAACAAACCCAGGGCCTTGAACGTGGGAGGCAAGTGTTCTACCACTGAGCCACAAACCCAGCCCTAATTTTATTTTATTTATTTTTTAAAAATATCTTTGTTATATTTACTTATTTTTGTGTGGTGCTGAGGATCGAACCCAGTGCCTCACGTGTGTGAGGCAAGTGCTCTGCCACTGAGCCACAACCCCAGCTCCCTAATTTTATTTTTGATATATAGAATATTAGCATGATTTCAACAGCTAAAATTGTACCAAAAGGCATTACACAGAGATGTAATTCAATTCCACCTAGCCCTAGACAACCACAGTCTGATTTCTGTACCTATAGTTTTTGCCTTTTCCAAAATGTCATATTAACAGAATCATGTAATATGAATCTTTTTGTCTCCTTTCATTTACTTATAGCACAATGCCTTTTTTTTTATACCTTTGTTTTATTTATTTATTTTTATGTGGTGCTGAGGATCGAACCCAGGGCCCTGCATGTGCCAGGCAAGCACTTTACCATTGAGCCACAATCCCAGCCCCAGCATAATGCTTTTTTTTTTTAAAAAAGATTTTTATCATTAGCCAAGTGTAGTGGCCCATGCCTGTAATCCCAGTAACTCAGGAGACTGAGACAGCAGTATTGCAGGTTTGAAGCCAGCCTTGGCGACTTAGTGAGACCTCTTCTCACAAAAAGGAAAAAGGGGCTGGGAGTATAGCTTAGTGGTAGAGCATCCCTGGGTTAAATCCCCAGTACCACAAAAATGTTTGTTGTTGTATAATAATCATTTAGAATAGTGGACTTCTTTGTGACATATTTGCACATACTCATAATGAAATTTAATCAATTTAATTCCCTGGAGTCTCTCCTTCCATTCCCCTCCTTCCCCCCCGTCTTCCTCTATTCAACTAGTTTCCCTTCTATTTTTATGAGATTCCCCACCCACCCTGCTTTCTCTTCATTTTTCTTTCTAGCTTCCATGTAGGAGAAAACGTACAGCCCTTGACCTTCTGATTTGGGCTTTTTTCACTTAACATGAAGCTCCACAGTTCCATCCATTTTCCTGCAAATGATATAATTTCTTTCATTCTTATGACTGAATATATATATATACCACACTTTAATTATCCATTCATCTGTTGTACATCTAAGCTGTTTCTGTAGTTTGGCTATGATGAGTTGTGCTGCTATAAACATGGGTATGCATGTATTTCTGTAGTATGCTGACTTTAATAATTCTTTTGGGTAAATACTGAGGAGCAGTATAGCTGGATCATATGGTGGTTCCATTCCTAGTCTTTTGAGGAAGCTCCATAATGATTTCCACAGTGGTCATACTAATTTACTTTCTCACAGACAGCATATGAGTTTCTCCCTGCTACTAAATCCTCACCAGCCTTTATTATTTTTTTATCTATATATTTTTGAAAAATTCATCTATGAGAAAAGAGCTAAGAGGCCAATGGGGGGAAACATTCTCTTGGAGGTACTGTAAAGCCAAGTCTGTCCACTGCATTTCTTGTTCTTTCAAGATTGTGTGGTGACACTGTTTCTTGTTCATTTCAAGAAGTTCATTCAGTGGTATTGCAACATCCTCATAAGGCAAATTGTCTTCTACCAAATGTTATCAATCAAATCTAAGATCCTTCCATCTCTCTGGACCTCATTATCCATTTTTCTGCTGTTTTTCTGCAGCTTTGACCTTGTCAGATCCTATAAAGTTTTCTCAAATCAATGCAGCTTCAGCAGGCTTTCTGCCCTGAATGCTTCTTGTCTGCAGCTGGCCCACTGCAGCACCTTCTTCCTCTGAACTAGGTCCTTGGCATCACATGACCCGCATCCCTGGATAGCTTTTTTTTTTTTTTAAGTTGTAGATGAACACAATGCCATTTATTTATTTATTTATTATTTTCTGTGGTGCTGAGGATTGAACCCAAAATGCCCCACACATGCCACGCAAGCACTTTACCACCTACAACCCTAGCTCCCTGGATATCTTATTTGTGTTCTTGATAATTGTCATTCTGACTGGAGTGAGTTGAAATTTTAACGTAGTTTTGATTTGTATTTTTCTGCTGGCTAAAGAGCTGAACAGTTTTTACATTCGGTCATTTGTACTTCCTTTTGAGAAGTGTCTATTTAGTTTGCCTACTTATAAATGGGTTATTTATTTATTTTGGTGTTGACATTTTAGTTCTTTATATATTCTAGATATTAATCCTCTGTCAGAAGAGTAGCTGGCAAAGATTCTCCCATTCTGTAGGCTGTCTGTGCTATTGTTTTCCTTTGCTGTGAGAAGCTTTTTATTTTAATGGCATCCCATTTATTCATTCTTGGAATTATTTCCTGAGCATTGCTGCCTACTCCTATATGTTAGAGTGTTTCTGGTATGTTCTCTTCCAGCAGTTGGAAAGTCTTTGATCTTTTTGAGTTAATCTTATGCAGTGGGAGACAGGGATCAATATTTTGTGTACGGATATCCAGTTTTGCATGTTACAGTATAGGAGGTGCCCCTTCTCTTCTCCAGAGTGAATTCTTATATATGATACATTCTATATTTGATCTGTTTCCCCCACTCAAGGAGTAACTCCTTCAGTTATGATTTCTTTCTCTAGTTTTATCAGCTTTACCTTCTCCCCTATGTGTTCTAATATCTGCCATCCTAAAAGGCATGCCTCCCAGACCTCATCTCTTCTTACCTCACACACCTTCCACCCCCAGCTATACCTTCCCCATTTCTCTGCTCTTCTTTGAAGGAAAACTTCTCAAAGAAAAATAGATATAGGGGTGAGAGAGAGAGAGAGAATACTAGCTGCATTTACTGAGAAGGCCTAGAAGCAATGCCATTCCATTAGCAATGAGCATATGTAGCACCTACATCTTGGTTTCTAAATAAAGCATTCTCTGTTCTCACCAGTAGATCTTTGTGTGATGAAGAAAATGTTTTATGTCTTCATTGTCCAATATAATAGCCATTAGCCATGTATGACTTTTGAAAACTTGAAATATGGTAAATGTGACTAATGAATTGCATTTTTAAATTTTATTTAGTTTTAATTCATTGAAATAGCCACATTTGGTTAATGGCTTTATATTAGACAGTATGACTTCAATGAAAAGAACCTGTACTTCTTTTTTTAGCAGAGGCGATTTCAGGACTAGGGTAGGGAATATATAAGATGAGGCTGGAATATTTTGTGGGGTCAGAGAGTAAGGAAGTACTCAAAAAGTTGATCTCAAAGAAGTAGGGAACAGAATAGTGGTTACTGGGGAGGCAGTGATGGAAAGAAGTTATGGGGAGGCAGTGATGGAAAGAAGATAGTCAATGGGTGCAGTGGGTTAGGAGGAGTAACTTCTACTATTTTATTGTATAGTAGGATAAGTATGGTTGACAGTATAGCTATCAGAGAAGATTTTGAATGTTACTAACACAAAAGATTCAAGTCTGACTTGATAGAGATACCAATTACCCTGATATGTTCATTACACATTGTAGACATATTGAAATGTTACACTGCACCCATAAATCAATAAATAAATACTATGTATCAATTAAAATACATTTTAAAAAATAATTGGATACAAGGACAGATCATCTGTGGTACTAAATAAGTGAGTATGATGACAAACAGCATATTTATATAGCCTCAAAGAATCTCCCCATAAGGTACCTAATAGCTACCACCTGACCCAAGTGATCAGTGTTAATATTACCAATAATGAGATATTCAGCACCTGCTGAAATGATGCAGTGTAGCATTGAGGACACCAGCATGCACAATTCTAACCTAACCATGAGCAAACATTAGACAAACTCAGATTAAAAAATCTCCAAAAAAACAAAGTAATTAGCAAAGACTGGTAAAATCATGGGGCAAAAAAGATACTAAGGAACTCCCTCAGGATGGAAGAGACTAAGAAGACATGACAACTAAGTGGAATGTGGGGTCCCTTATTGCATCCTGGATCAGAGAAGGACAGTGTTAAAATTAAGTAAAGTCTGTAGATTAGTTAATAATATTTTTAGCCAACATTATATCAATGTCACTTTCCTAATTTCAGTAATTCCACTATGGTTACACAAAAGGTTAAATGTTGGATGTTAGGTCTGCAGAAACTCGCTATTACTTTTACAACTTTTCTGAAAGTCTGAAACTGTTTCCAAACAAATGTTTTCAAAAATTGTCTATACCCTGTGCATTCATCCAGGTTTGTCTTTTGAGTTCGAAACTTAGTATGTCCACTTGATGTTTCACAACATCACAAACTTAACTCATTTAAAACTGAATTTTTGATGCTCTTGTCTATACATCTCCTTCCCACAATCTTAGCAACTGTTGGATTTCATTCAGTGTGTTTTTAAGTCAGATTATGTTTTTTTTTTTTTTTTATCTCTAGACCATTAGTTTTTTATTTTATCTGTGTCTGCACAGAATATATGAAATATAATTTAATCTTTAAAATGTCATTGTCATATCTTAGTAGTATCCTGGTTGTTCTCTCTTGAACACCAGACATTGTGAAGTTGACATTTTTGTATTTCCGTGAATATTGGGTATCAATTAAGTTACTTGGAAACATTTTGATCCATTTATGATATCAGCACTCAGTAGAAGATTCAGCAAGGATTTTTGTAGCTCTCTGGAGGTTTTTCTTCCTCTGTAGCTTTCTTCCCTTCAGTATTCTGTTTTGGGAACCCTAGCCACTTTGACCTCCCCAGCTTTTGTCTTTTTGGGGGGTTGTTTCCATTGGAAGGTAAATCTAGTCCCTGTTACTTCATCTTGGCTGGATGTAGAAGGTAACCTTTGTTTTTTGTTTTTAAAAATATCCAATAAAACTTCATGTGGTGGCGCACGCCTATAATCCCAGCGGCTTGGGAGGCTGAGGCAGGAGGATCTCAAGTTCAAAGTCAGCTTCAGCAACAGCAAGGTGCTAAGCAACTCAATGAGACCCTATCTCTAAATAAAATATAAAATAGAGCTGGGGGGGCTGGGGTCGTGGCTCAGTGGCAGAGCGCTTGCCTAGCATGCGTGAGGCACCGGGTTCGATTTTCAGCACCATGTATCAATAAATAAAATAAAGGTCCATTGACATCTAAAAATATATTTAAAAAAAAAAAAATAGAGCTGGGGATGTGGCTCAGTGGTTGAGAGTCCCTGAATTCAATCCCTGGTGCCAAAAAAAAGAAAAGAAAAGATTTAGATTTATCTGTAGTATAAGTAAGTTTGTCCATTTTCCTTTGTAATTTCCAGATAGCGCAGAAATACAGAAGCTTTATATATCAATATAAACAACAACAAAAAAAGATAATTTAGTATACTGAGGTCATTTTCAACATTTGGCTTCTGCCCATTCATGTTTATGATGTGAAATTGTTTGATTTATAGATTAGAACAACAGTTATATCCTAGGTAATTAGGAAAATAATATTTTAGAAAAAAGGTAGCAAATAACCTGTATTTACTAATGTTACTTAAGAGGCAGGAAACCCCAATATTTACTTTGTCTTCCATTTGAAAATTAAAAATACTTTTGATGATTTATTTATTTTTAGGCTTCTGCTTTTCTTTATGGGCTTCCTTTTGTTTGGTTTGTGTGTATGTTTTTATGGATGTCCTTGTAAACTCCACTGCATTTTTCTCATTTTTATACTTTATCAAGATTGTAGTAAATTACATTTTATAATTGAGATTTCTCATAATTTATGTAATATGAGATAAATTTGGTAGTGCAGGTGGAACAATAATAATAGTATCAGGCATAGTGGTAATATAGAAGGACTCTGGGCTTTAGTAACAGCAAGATAAGAAAGTAGAAGTTGAGTCTTAGCCAGTTTTTTATAACTTGAGCCTTACTTTCTTTTTAAAAATGACAATGCTTTTCTCAAAGGCAGTTGTGAGAATTAAGTGCATTTTGTGAAAGTACATAGTAAACTATAAATACTGTATAAAAATCTAGTATCATTTTGAAGCTTAGCCTTAGAAGTATAAATTTCAAGTAGTAAGTACAGTGGGAAAATTTTACTATACCTGAACCTAACATTAATAACCAGAATTATTATCTTGACCTGTGCTTTCTTTGTTTAGTTTCAGAAATTTTTCAATTTGAGTTTTGATGCTTGGTTAATAGAAATGAGTCATATTATCATTTCTTTTTTTACTTGACAGTACACCATTTGCTCTTCACCCACATATATGATCCATGGGGTTGGAGAGAAATAAGGATATTGCTCAATAGCCTTCATCTTTAGACAAAGAATACTTTTCAGCAACACTTGTGAGTTTCTGTTAGGCCTTAGGAAATGAAGACACATTGATATTAAACTAATTAACTTAATAATTAGTGAGAAAACTTGAACAGATCATTAAGTTAGGCTCTGTGTTCTCTATAAATACCAATGATTACAATTCATGGAGTGGATTATATGACCTGGGCCTTTATAGTCTAAAACATTTTCTACAGAATGGTACAAGAACTGTTACTGAGAATCAAAACAAAAGGCTACAGAATTATGTGAGACTTGCCCTATATTTATGAATCAGATTTTAAGTGGAAACCACAGTTGTTTCCTTGTATGTCATTCATGCTTTAGCAGAGGATATGATGCCATAGAGCTGGCTTGTTTTGTAGCTTCTCAGTTAAGGTTGCATTGCTTTCTTTTCCTTTTTGGAAGCCACAGCAGTTTTTGATGTATTATCAAACCACACAATGTACCTTCTTGGTTATGTAGCAGGAAGAAATGTGTTAATGTTGTTTGATAGTCTTGGTACTGATTGTGGCATTCCATTTAGTCCTCTTTTGAAAATACAGCATAAATAAATGTGTGCATGCATTTATTAGGGGCAGGTCGTATCTAGGCAGACATGTGGGAAACAGTTTTGAGCTTTTTGAATATATTAGGTTGTGTTTAAAATAATGTTTTAGATCTGGGGATGGAGCATGGTTGTGAAGCTCTTGCCTGGCATGCACAAAGCTTTGTGCAATCCCAGCAGCACACACACAAAAAAGATAATGTGTCATATTGTTTAACTTGACTCTAACATGTTTAATCTCTTTCATTCCATTTTAGCATCAAGGCTTGCCATGGGTTGCCTCTCATAAATGGACAAAGCTGTGATCCTTATGCAACAGTTTCTCTAGTGGGTCCTTCTAGGTAATGTTTATTGAATGGTTAGTGGGTTTTTAAGTGTAAAGTTGGTTTTAAGAATTGGAAAAATAGTGTTCTTAGAGCAAATGCTCAGTAACTAAGACATAAAATAAACCTTTAAAAGAAGAATCTTTGGTGAGTTCATTAAATACATGTAAACATCCAAGTCCTATTTTTACAGAATAATATTAAATGCCATTTTAAATCTGTCATATGCTTAGTCTGTAGGGAAAACCTCAGTCTCATACTATTAAAAATGTGCTTTGAAACATAAACTTGGCCTTCTTCACTTATTAATATTCCTCCTTTTAAATGACCTAAAATTGTACACAGGTAAAATCCTGCTTTAATAAACACCAATCTCACTTGCCTAGTATTCACAAAGCCCTAGTTTTGATCCCCAGCATTACAAAAAAACCAACAAATTCCAACTCAGAAAATGAGGCAATTTCTATAATGTTATCTGGAAAGCAGCTTGGGACTGAAAATTGCCTTTTCTACTCATGAGATCCGTGTTCTTCAAAGAGAATTCTAAGCTGTAGACAAACTACTGAAGTACTAGAGCATGGTGAAGTGTAGATCATTGGTTTAACTAATTTGTGATAATTTATGAGAAAAACCTTTAGCAGTTTGTGATATTTTGTATTATATAGCTTCATTATGGTTTATCTAAGGGACTGAGTAGTCTGAAATTTTTCTACAAGTTGAGGATTTAGAATCAGGAAATAAAAAGCACAAGATTTCCTACACACACATACACACACACACACCCCTTCTCTCCATCCCCAAGAGCTCTAGTTATTCTGATTAAAAAAAAATTGCTGATAAGTCACTTTGAAAACTATATTCATTCATATATATCCTAATACCATACTATGCCTAAACTATGGATGTTCACATAATGGCATGCTACTATTAGTATGATGGTTTTAAATTTTAAAACAAATAATCATATAACATTTAGTGCTATCAGAGTAGTTTCATTGTGCATGTTAATAATGTTCAATCTAGTAGAGCTGGCTTTGTTTTTTACTTAATTATCTGTACCTGACATATAAATTGTTTAGTGTAATTGTTTAGTAACATATAATTAGAAACTATTTAGCATATGAATTTGTTTTAAAAAGTAACTGTTGGTTTTGCTATTGTACCATACTGTGTAAGATTTTCACATTGGGGAAGGCTGGGTACAGCCACAGGATTTGGCTGTACATTTCTTTGTAATCTCCTCTGAATAATTATTTCAAACTAAAAAACATATTTCAGTCACTATTATTAGCTGAAGGTCAAGAAGTAAAGTGAGTTAAAAATACTTTTTTTGGTCCTCAGGTGTTTTTTTAACATAGGCAAAGGCACTGTAAATCTCATGGCCTGCCTTCTCATTATTTATTCTGAGTTGCTTATGTCCTATAATGTGTTTTAAAACCTCTGAAGAGAGCTTGGCAGTCAGTCTGGTATAGGCATAGACAGAATAATACACTCTTGGCGTATAGAACATTCTCTTTTTTTGAGTTTGTGGAGATATCTTGTCTGCCCCCCAACCCCAGTAATATTTAAAACTGCAGTCTTTCCTGAGTCATCTTAACATTTAAACAGAGGTCAGGCTCCCTGGTTGGAAATAGCATGTTTTATAATTGTGTACTATTAAGTTCTACAAGGTAAAACTCTACCACATTGGAACAGGAATGACCAAAAGAAGACAAAAGTAAAGAAGAAAACAAGCAATCCGCAGTTTAATGAAATCTTTTATTTTGAGGTAATTTCTTGTTTTATATAAATGTTAACAATGAATATTTAAGATTGAGTTCTACTTGATTTCTTTTTCCAAACCACAGCCATAATAATCATTTTATCAACTAATGCAACCAAGCATTTTCTGTCCAGAAAGCAATAGAACCATGTACTGAATATAAAACAGATAAAAGTAGAGCTCTGATTGATTTGGTAGTAGGGAAGGCTAGGGTCATCCACCCCCACTCTAGTCATTCTCACCATCACACCTTCTTCTATATCCTCCCCACCCTGTCCAACTCCCCACCTGACACGTAATGGCCACAAGACTCTTCTGCAGCATACTGTTTCAAAACCACTAGTGAAGTAAGTATGGTTATCATTCAGTAGATCTGAGCTGTAGTCCCAGTTGATTTTGAATGAGTCACTCAGTGTGAGACTTGAGTTTTTTTTACTTTGTGAAAGGGTAATATTGTAAGGGAAAATGTTAGCGGCTCTACCCAACTTAGGAGTGTTTTTATAATGCCCAGAGCATGTAAGAACCCTTTGAAAGTATAAAACACTTTGTGACTAAAATCTTATTATTGGGGCTGGAGGTATAGTTCAGTGATAGAGCACTTACCCAGCATGAGCAAATCCCTGGGTTCGATCCCCCAGTACCCAGAAGGAGGGGGTGTTATTAAATTTTTTTTAGTCTAATTTACTCTGTGGACACATGCTTATTTATTTTCATGGAGATCTTCAACTGCCTCAAAATTGTCCCAAACACAGTGCTTTGGAGTTTTTTTACTTGAGAGCATCCAGTAAAAAAAAAATCCTTTTTATTACTTAAAGACTACAGAAAAGCATCTCAAACTCTAAAGGTTGTGTAATAGTGGAACATGTTGCAGTTGGTAATAACTTGTGAGAAAGGTTTACAAAAAGGAGTTACATTTTGTGCTTTTTCTTCTTCTTTTTTTTTTTTTTAATGTTTTTCTTCTTTTTTAAAATTGAGAAAGTACTATGGTATCTCTAGTCATGCCTGATTATTTTACTGTAATAAAGAGCACAGGCTGAAGAAAATACTAAAGTGAAATAGAAAACTGTGGGGGTGGAAGGAAGGGAGAAAATGTACTGATGTGACTTTACCACTTCCTGGCTAAGGCTTGTTGCAGTCATTCTACATTTATTAATGGTTATGCATTTATATTCTACATATATTTATTGTTACATCTAACCTGGAGAAAACAAAGAAGGCAGCAACTGACCAAAAAAGGGCTACTGACTGAAGGCCTTTATTGTCCCTATAAGTCCACGTACCTTGACTGCAGATGGGATGGAATCTACTAGCATTACAGAGCCTTGCAGCAAGCAGAAGAGTTTTTGAAAGTCAAGACCTGTTTGGTGTACCAGAGGACCTGCTAGACCTTGAAACATTTATCTAGTGGCTCCTTTGGAGTTGGTTATAAAGATAGATAAAGTTCAGTTTCTATTCTCTGGCTAGAGTAGGAGACAGCATACATATGCATGCATCTATACAACAGGCAAATGCAGTAGATGCTGTTTGCCTGAGGTGGTCAGGAGAGGTTTGAAGAAAGACTAAATTTTCGTAAGTGAGAGGAAAAAGAGCATTTTGAGCACAGCCAGCCAGCCAGAAAGTTATCTCCAAAGAGCAACAAGTAATGATTTAACTGAGTTTGTTTAAGAAAATAATGGCAACCAGGATTAGAATAGTAGAACAGGACTAGCTAATGAAAACCCTCCAGTTTCTTGGCTGAGGTGCTTTAATTTTAGACATTGAGTTCTTTTGAGTCTGAAAGTAAAGCAGCGTTTTGAAGAGAATTAACCATGATTTGTAGGCCAGGTGGCTCAGGTGGAAAAACAAACCAACCAACCTAGGGATGGTCTGTTCTAGAGGGTAGTATAGAAATATGAAGGAAGAGGGAGATAAGAAAGGTACTACAAAGGGCAAGATGACAAAATGGTTATAGAGGAAAAAGGAAAGAAAAGAGTCGAATGGTTTCAAGTCTGGAAAAATAGGAAAACTAGGAGAAAGAAGATATGTGGCTTAGTTTGGGACATAAAGAAATCTGACTAAAAAAAGCTCCAGTAGGCAGTTCATGACTGGAAACAAGATAAATGATGGTTGTAGTTCAAGATAAAGTGGTAGTGCACTTGCCTGGCATGTCTAAGGCACTGGGTTCGATTCTCAGCACCACATATAAATAAATAAAGTAAAGGTCTATCAACAACTAAAAAAAATAATAATAAAGATTTGTTTACCAAAAAAAGCCTCGGAGTTGAGGTGTACAACAAAGGAGGAAAAGTGAAAAGGCTTGCTTCAGCCACTTATTTAGTGTCATTTAATTTTTGTACTTTAGCTTCCTCATTTTTAGGATGAGGATAATAAATCTAGCCCTGCCTGCCTCAGAGCAACGTCTGATGAACAAAGAAGATAATGCATGTGAAAGCACTTTATAAACTGTACAGCACCATCCAGCATCAAGTTGTTTTTAGAGCAAAGTAAAAGATAAAACCTCAGAAAGTAACCATGTCCATAGGCTCAGAGAAAAAAACAGAGCAGAGAATGCTGCCAGAATAATGCCCAGGTAAATTCAAAGACAAAGTTGTTCTGGCAAGGGAGCTATAGTTGTATGATCACTAGGTCAAATAGAGGTCAAAGACTGTGATAACTCAGAGCTGGTCATCAGAATTGGTGATGCAGAGAAAGATTGTAGGAGGGTAATCTATGAGGAGACCAGATAGGAGCTGTGAGTGGGTGTTGAGGAAGCACAGACTGAAGGATGAATTATAGTTTTAATGTATTTGGGGAAAAAAAAAGAAAGACCATAATTTAAGGCGAGAATTTTTCTTCTACTTGAGTGAGGTGAACAAACTAGTAAAGAAAGCTGCAATTAAAGCAGATTGAATGCTTACTGCATGCTTATTACATACTATATGTAGGTGGGGTAGTCTTAGAAAAGAAGAGAATCATCTCATTCTCATGTTGAGAAGAGGGTGAGAAAACTCACAAAGTGGAGAGGTCTGTGTGGGAGTGGATCCATTCAGGTGGATGGTAGTTGAGGCAATTCCTGCCACTGGCCTTGATGTTTTCATCAAAAATGGGAGAAAGAAATGTGAGTAGAACTGGTACCTTGAGAAATATGAGACTGTCTTTAAACAATTTTAAGCAAGTACAGCTTCATTGAATTAGTTCATTTTTACTCTTCAGGCCACTAGAAGACAACCCATGATCTAGGAGCTTAATGTTCCTGTATATTGAGTTGATAGGAACAGCGTGGAGGCGAGGATTTTTTTCTTTCTTTCTATTTTTTTTTTTTTTTACTTTTCTTTTTTTTTTGCACACTACCTTATTCTTACCTTCCTGCTACTTTCATAGCTTACTTTCCGGTAAAATATTATCTCATTGTGTTCTTCTGTTTATATCTGTATTGAATATTTGGGAATGGTCATTTTTTAAGATCACGTGGGAAAAAGATACTTAAATTTTTTTTTTTTTTTTTTACTAAATTGTTTTGTTTACAGGTAACCAGATCCAGTAGTTATACCAAAAAGTCCCAATTCCAGGTAGAAGAGGAGGACATTGAAAAGCTAGAAATTAGGTATGTACTTTGGGGATTTACATAATTGCTTTTTTTGTATGCAAAAAAAAAAAAAAAATCCTAAATTTAAATTTAACTGAAAAGGGAGAAGAACCAGCCTTACTAGACTTCACCATAGCAAATTGTGTAATGAAACTTAGAGGAAAATGCATCTAATTTAATCTGGATTATCTTTTCAAAACCTGATTTATTTGCAGAATATATTGATTTTGTAAACAAAGACTACCTAATTTTTACTTGTTTTATTTTTAAAATTTTTTCTTAATTGTTTCTTAAATATCTGGATCATAGCATAATGGATGGAAAAGCAATTATATCTTCGCCAATTTAGAAATAATTTTTTTATTCTTCTTAACATATCTGCTGACTATCAGAAATTTCAGTGAGGTAAGAAGATAATTCAACAGGTGCATGTGTTTGCAGTTTGTGATATTTCCTAGGCCTTAAATATCTATGCTATTTTGGAAAGGGAAGTTTGGCAAATGCATGTGTAGGTGTGGTGTTAACAGTGTGTTTATCTAAAGGGCATATTAATCATGTGTTTAAAGTGATCAGGTAATATATTTTTCTAAATCATCAGTCTTTGTATATTGGTTATAATTGAAAAAGAAACTGTAATCTTCTGTTGGTTTCTTTTCTCAAATTAAATTTTGTTATCCTTATTGCTACAGGTTAAAATAAAGTGTAATTTTCAAACTAAGAATCTTGCGTGACTCATTTTAGACTATTTAGAATTGACACTTTTTGTGTTTTTAAATAAAAATTGCTGTAGTATTTTTCATTTCTAGTCTGGATAGTGAGATATATGGTAATGCTAACATCTCTTACTTTTCAGCATGTAAAATTAATGCTATAATACAAATCAAAGTAATTTGAAACCTTTGGTGTTGTGCATTTACTTAAACATTATTTGCCAAAAATAAAACCAGTTTTCAATTTCAGGATTGACTTGTGGAATAATGGAAACCTGGTCCAGGATGTTTTCCTGGGTGAGATTAAGGTTCCTGTGAATGTGTTAAGAAACGATACCTCTTATCAAGCCTGGTAAGAAAAACAAATATTATAGTGAACTCTGTAATTTAATCCTCTGTAATACAGTATATATGCAAATAAATGCTTACTGTAAACATTTAAAGTTGCTATTGAATAAGCAAAAAATCATTGACATTAATTAATTTGGTTATGAATTCATGATCTTACAAATATAAGTACTTCAATGGTTTTATGACTTGACCTGTACTCCTTAGATAAAAGAACTGAATCATCCAGAATTACTTTTTATGTTTAAAAATGAAATTTTACAAACTCTGAGAAAGTGGAGAACATAAAACATTACATGAGTTGCCATGTGAGAAGATACTTGCTCAGAAGTAAACATCTATAGCTCAGAAGCTTTATTATCAATCATCGGAACTAGGGATATTTGAAAGCAAAGGGTTTATTTGGGGGTGTCAGTCATTCGTGAGAGCTAACCAGTGATTTTCCTTCACCACACTATGTTGAAATGCACTGTGGATAGCCCTGATGTTATTTCCTGAGTTTCTAGGGTCTCGATATTGTCGAGCTGATTCAAGTAATACATTTTATTGGAGCTCTGGGGGCTCAGTAATGGCTACAGTATTATGTTACCTTTTCATGACTCTGTCGGTGACACTGAATTGATGCTAATTTCCTTCACAGAACCAATGGGAAACTATGGTTTTTTCTGTCTCCAGCACTTGAAAAAGCATCTGTATCTTATCCCTTGCAGTAGGCTGCCCACATCCATCATGCTAGACTTGAGTCTCAACTGAATGTAAAATGAACATGCCTTTTCTCATTTGCCTTTTTAGAGACCACTTTTTAAAAAATGGTATATTTTTATTTATTTGCAGAGTACAATATTTTAATTCAATACATGTATATAATGTATAATGATCAAATCAGGGAAATTAGCATTTCTCTCTCTTTAAATATCATTTCTCTGAATTGGAAACCTTGAAACTCTTCTCTAATTGTGGTGAAATTTATAATTGTTATAGATCATAGCTGCCCTATGGTGCTTTATAACGTTAAAACTACTCCCCTAACATCTGTATTTTTGTACCTATTATCTACTGTGTCTCTATACTCTCTCTCTTTCCTGGTCTCTGGTGACATGTGTTCTGTTCTCTGCTGACATTTGATCAACTATTTTAGCTTCCACAAATGAGTGAGAACATGCAGCATTGGTTTTTTTAATGCCTGTGTTGCTACGAACAACAGAATTTCATCCTTTTTCTGATAGAATGTCTCTAAATGGATGAATGAATTTTTAAAATGTGATATATATATGAATATTATTTAACCATAAGAACCACATACTGAATGTTTAGATATTTCTTTTGGTCATGCTTTTCCTTGTCTGGACTATATTGGATTCTGTTGTCTTCTAACACTTGCAGATTGATTTTTAAACTTTTCATTTTATTTTTCCTCTACCTAATGCAGATATAAGATTTATTGGTCATGATGGCACTTTATATGATTTCCAAAATGCATCCACAGAAGGAAAATAATTTAACTTGGTCTCAATGAAAAATTGATGAACATTTGGGATTCTTCACCCTCCTCCCACAATATATCTTTTTCCGCTTTCCACAAAATAACATACATTTTAAAATGAAAATTTCTGAACTCTGTCAAGTTCTATACAGAAGAGAAAAATTACTTGTTTTGCCTCCCACAGTCCCTCAATGAGCTTCAAATATGCCACATAGCCTGTATTTTAAGTGAGGTAATCTCCAGACATACTTTCCAAGTTTAACAAAACTTTGTCCAGCTACCTCTGTAGGTTGTACAAACTTTAGCAGATAGAAATTAATTTTATTCCTGTAGATTTTGCTTTTTGCCAATAGTATAAATATTTTAAAGTAACTTGCCAAAAGTACTAAAGTTGATATAGCATAAAACAGAAGCATCTGCTAATTTGTTTATACTGACATAGAAGTAAGGAAGTATAAAAATGTGAATGATATTTCCTTTTAGATAGAAACAAAACATTTTGAATTGTAGAGCTGTAGCATCCCCTTGTGGGGTTGATGGTAACTGCTTTAAATACTCCAGAAAAGCTTTGTTTACCTTCGGGATTTCAGGCATGCCTTCTTATTTCCATATTATTCAAAGGGATAGAATAACTGTAGTAGTTCACTTCTGTTGTTTGAAAAGTCTCAGTTCACTTTCTTTTTTCCAATAATTTCTATTAGTATTTGTCTGTTTAAGTTTCTCCTAACACTGACTTTTGATGGTTCTAATTTAATTTTATTCTGAAATTATAGTATGACGACTCAAGTTACTCCTCCCTTTCTTGGTTGTTCAGTTCCTTAGTAGTGTTATGTTCTTAAGGCTGATACTTTGATCAAATGTGAGGATTATCTTGGTACTTTTACTATATTGTTGGTTTGGTTAGTTTTTACTTTTCTCTGTGTAGATAATAGAATTACAACATAAAAAGATATTTATATCTTTTTTTATCTCAGGTCAAGTAAAAATCTGTGTCCTGCTCCTTCCTCCCAGCTACTCAGCTACTCAGTTTCCCACTTCTGAGGTGACCATTGTTTTGAAGTTTCTGAAAATGTTTTGTATATATAAAAAACAAAACATAATTTTTCCCCTTTCTTTACATAAATAAGTAAACACTATATTCTGCAAGGCACCTTGCTTTTTTTACTTTACAATATAACATCAGTATAACAATAGCACATCAATAAGTCTTTGTTGACTATTGATGGTGATTAAGAGTATGGACTCTGGAACCAAACTGCCTTGATTCAGTTGCACTTCTGCTGTTAACTACTTATAACCTTGAACTCAACCTGTCTGCCTTTACTTTCTGTGACTATATAATGGGATACTTTCTAAAGTCCTTAGGAGAATGAATGTTGTTAACAGTACAGTAACAGGCAAGGCCTTTGACAATGGGTGTAAATCATGCTATCATGGTTTTTATTACTGCTTTACTATTCTCACCATTATTCCAAAGAAATGCACATAGAATTTCTGCATTTTTTTTTGCATAATAGCCCATTGTTTGGAATGTTATAAGTAAAGACAACCTTAGGGATAATCTAGTTCATGTCATTTCATTAGTTACCTCAGTATCAGAGAATTTAATATTTGCATAATTTTTCATGTATAAATTGATATAATAATTTCCCCCAGGTGATCCAAAATATAAATGGACATTTAAAAAATAGATATAAATATCTTTTTATGTTGTATTTTTTTTATTTTGAAAGTAATATTCAAATAGTAGATAAAATTAATGATTGAGTTTTTACAAAGTAAGCACTTTATACATAATTTAAAACTAGATTAGTGCTTTACTTGAGATTGTCTGGTTTGCCAATTTGGGCACTTTTTGTCCTCAAACACTTTTTTTTTTCTGGCCTTGTTTTTTTTAACATCTTTTTACTACTTGAATTTGGAAAATGTAAAGCATCTTTCATCCTTAGTAAAATATTATTTTAAATGTTTCAGGGGATGGGCAAAACAGTGATGTTTGAAAGGTTTTGTTTTGTTTTCAAATATTAGAAGAGCTACCTCTGAACAATTATTTTTCAGCTTATGCGTTATGTACAAATAATTGTAATTTTGGTTTGCTCCCTAAATTTTAACCTTATGGCTAAAATTTTTCAAATGCTGATGTTTTTTTCCTATTAAGGGGCTATCAAACCTGTTAACTTTTAAGAGCATAGAATTGCTTTTATGCCTCTGTAATTGTGAATGAAAAAGATAGCAATGGAATGCCACTTTCAGTTAATAATTTTTCTTTATTTAATGTTCTTTCTCATTCTTTGAAACTGAATTATTTCATTCAGAAGCTAAGGAAAATATACTTCATGGTTTTTTTGCCTTTTTTTTTTTTTTTCCTTATTTGTTCTTTCCTAGATCTTAGGCCTATCAGATATCTCCTATTTAACAAATCTTGAGGCTTTTCTCTTGAGCTCTAATTAATACATATTGCATGATTCATAAGCATCCTTCAGGTGATTTACTAAATTGAGCTTTTGTAATATTTTCAAATAATAATCATATATAGTTATATAAATAACTATGTCATTCATATATGAATATATATTTAAGTGGGAATAGTTATATTATATTAACATTTACAGTGTTAACTGTGTGCCTGGCACAATTCTAAGTGCTTTGCTTATTTAACCTCTTTGGGGCTGTTATAAGGATTAAGTCAGTAAGGTACTATTAATACCCCTTGATAAACAGAAGAGGAAACAGAGAGAGATTAAGTGACTTGCCCAAAATTACATAGCAGGGATTTTAACCAAACTATCTGACTCCAATGTTTGTGCTATTAACATATTAGAATAAATTTATACTTTGGCATACTTTTGAATATGTTTAAAATTCAGAAACGTCCTCTGTTTTAAGCTAGTAGCAATGAGTGACCCTTGTAAAATATTATTTTAAATGTTTCAGGGGATAGGCAAAACAGTGATGTTTGGAAGGTTTTGTTTTGTTTTGTTTTCAAGTAGACAGAGATGAATTGTTTTTGTCTGTAGGGATTTCCTATCTGCCAAAGAAAACCCAAGGGGGCAAATTTGAAAAGTGTCAGGAGTGAGCCCTTCTGGAGTTCCTGAGCATCCTGATATAACTCCCCAAGTAATTTGGAGATAAGGAAATAAATTTGCCCTCTGAGTAAAATTTCTGTAGAACAAACCTAAGCAAAATTTATTTTGACTGTAGAATGTGGAGTAGAATGTGGAGACATTGTTTGAGATGGATAGGTGCAGTCCCAGAAAGGCAGACCCAGTTGTAACTGAGTAAGCGGTAATACAATTGATGTTATTCTACTGTGTCTGGAAAACACTAGTTGCAGACATGGGCATAGCCCATCCAGGCACAGTAGAGGAGGAAGCAGCATCTGGCCTAGAAGCATCACTATTTCTTTGGCAAGACTAGTGTCTAGCTGAGAGATTCTTAAGACTATTTAACTCTTCTTGTGTCTCTGTACTTAACACACCACCTTTTTGATAATTTGCTTTTCCATATAGTTTACCTACAGGTTAAAATAGGGGATATAGATGAAAACACTATGGTACATGGTGAAATTTGTTAAAGCCAAAGGGTGAGTGCCTGGGAGGTGCTAGAGCAGGTGGGGGGCGGGGGGAATGTTCATTATTACTGTTAGCACTCTTCTGTCTATGAATGAACATTTCCATAATAAATAATTCCATAAATATTGGCTGCCAAATAATGCAGGTACCTATGCCACTTGGCCATTGTATTTCTTTTCATAAATTTATTGAGCTTCTTCAAGTATATCAGGCTTTGCACTCCATTTTTGCAGTTCACATTCACTTTTAGATATGCTGATAAAGCTAGATGCTGGAATTTGCAAGGCTGCAGAGACTTATCCTGGATTGTGGGAAATTGACCAAAGTTATGTCCTTGTCAGGATGTTTCATGATCAGCCAGCTGGACTTAGAGGTCCTTCAGTCACCTTTGCTAACAGGCTTTTTTCCAGTTATTTTTAGCCATATCTTTACATCAGTGTTTCTCAAATCAGAAAGTGATTCTGAAGGTTGATCTTTCAAGATAGGAATTCCTCTATTAGGGGGTCTAATAGAAGGGTAGTGACACAGTTTCTATAATTTCTTCTCCCTGTAATATCTCTTTGTCTTTTATATTTTGCTTGGTTGATTCTGTGGTTCTCTTTTCTGTCTTAATGATATCTTTCTCAAAGCTAATAAGCATTCTATTAAGTCCTTCTCCGTTCTATCTTTAAATAAGTTAGTCCAGTGGGGGAAACCATAGCTGATAAATATAAAAATATCAAAACTACTGAGGTTCCTTTATAAAAAGCATTCCAACTAATAAGTGAAGCGGAATGATAGAAATATAAAAATTACAATAATGATTAATTTTGGTGGTTAATGACTCTAGATAGTGATCATCAGTGGCCACTAAAATCCCCAAAAGAGAAAGCAGATATTAGTACCGCTTGGTGGAACTATTCAACACTACCAGTGAAGCATTCTTGCCCAAACAACAAGCCTCTATATCTAACTACCAATATATAGGAAATACAGAGAGGACAAAGGAACATCCCAAATGTGAAGAATGCTTCAGAACAGATCAAAGTACGTGATTCTTGTGGGGAGTGGAAGAAATCTGTAAATTAAAAGAAACATGAACACTATTAATGAATTATCATCTGTATACCTTTTTAGGTTTGAACAAATTATATAAAACTATTTATGATAAATTTGTAAGAATTTGAATCCTAAGTGAATAATGATGGTTTTTAAAGTAATGCATGAAACTATAAGGTACCTGGAAATCATTTTAAAATAATAAAGCAGGAGTGAAATTGGAGAGTACTGAAACAAGATTAGTCTTGAGCTGGTAACTGTTGGAGTTAGGTGATGAGATACATGGAGTTCAGTGTACTCTTTGCTTTTATATGCATGTAAAATTTCCATGATAAAAAGTTTTTTAAAAATTTAGATTTCTGGTTTTGAATCCTACAGCATTCTCTCAACTTGTAAACATTTCTTTCCTGAGGTATTTAAAGTTGTGTCTGTTTTTGCATATAGTTTTTTGTTTTTTGTTTTGCATTTTACTTATAAAAACTATGTTGGTATGATGTCTGGAAAAAAAACATTTTACTATAATTATTGTTACCCTTTTAATAATATAAAAAGCTATTTAAAATCTTTAATCACTAACAAAGTCAAAATTTTTACATATAGAATTTACTTTAAAACTAGGTCACAAGGCTAGGGGTGTAGCTCAGTAGGAGAGCACATACTTAGCATATGCAAAGCCATTAGTTCAATACCCAGTGCCAAAAAATAAAAAGCAAAAACAAAGTCACACTCTCAGTATATTTTATCTATTTCATCCAAATGCTTCTTTCTTAAATTTAGTTTGTCAAATTTCAAAATTTTATTTTTGACAAATACATTGAATTTAAGTAAGTTTTACATTTTCTTTCTAAAATAGCAAGCTAATAAACTCTTTAACTAATCCCTTTGAGATCTTAATTTTTTATTTTTCATGTTTTTATTTCCAGGATAAAAATCTACTTACAGCTTTCTAGTGCAATATGTAATCTGTATCAAGCCTCCTAGCCTAATACTAAGAAGTGCCCTAGCTTTAACTTCGGGGTTGACTTTTCAGTTTGTTTATTTAATTTATTTTATTTGGGTGCTGGAGACTGAACCCAGTCCTCATGCATACTAATCACATACTCCACCACTGAGCTAAACCTCCAGCCCTAGTTTGTTTTTTTAAGCTTAATTTATTTACCTAACTTGCTTGGATGCTTGTTACCAACGCATGGAATTGATTGTATTTTTACTTTAGGTACTTGCTACAGCCACGAGATAATGGAAACAAGTCATCCAAAACTGATGACTTGGGATCTCTTCGATTAAATATATGTTATACAGAAGACTATGTGCTTCCTTCAGAGTACTATGGTCCTTTGAAAACTTTGCTGCTAAAATCACCAGATGTTCAGGTACTTTAGAAATTTTCAGTATATGATTTAATATAAAAAAAGCCAAGCTAATTCTGAAATGATGAAGAAAAGGTATCAGAGTGTCAACTTTTTTGAAAAAGTGTATTTATTTATCTGAACCAGAGTATTCATTGCAATGTATGCAGATTTATTCTCTGATAAAAATTTAGGAAATTAAATTTTCTATAAACAGATACATGAACATTTGAATTCTGTTTATAAGTTAGTGATTGAACATAATTATGTTTTCTTGATTTTGTGCTTTTTTTCCTACCTTTCTGTATTCTAGCCAATATCTGCCTCAGCTGCTTACATTTTGGGTGAAATATGTCGAGATAAAAATGATGCAGTTTTGCCTCTTGTACGATTGCTGCTGCACCATAATAAACTTGTTCCTTTTGTCACAGCAGTGGCGGAATTAGACTTGAAGGATACCCAGTAAGAATTATATTTTATTAAATGTTAACTATGTATCATTAAAATTGGACCTTAGTTTATGCTGAGTTGTTTCTATGGTCTGAGTTCTTTTGTATTAACCAGCCCTACTATATAATTTGGCTGAAAAGAAATGCATAGGAAATAGCAAAAGCCATTCCTTTTAGGTTACAGACAAATCCACAATAGTAAGAATAACAACTGATAAAGGAATTTTTTTCACACAATGAAATTCTTTGTTACTGTTATTAATCAGTATAACGATTCACATGTCACAAATAAACTACTAGGACAGAAGTTGTTTTGCCCCATTTTCCATTATGTGGAACCCTTATATGCAAACATGACTTTATAACAAGTAACCAGTGGTTTCCCAGTCCTTTCAGAGTCTATTTTATGGGCATGTAAACACACAGAGACACATTGTATTAGTGTCTATTTTATGGGCATGTAAACATACAGAGACACATACAAAAAACATTGTATGTTTTTGGTTCATGAACATGATTTTTTTCTTTTTGCTACCTGAATTTTCACATATTTTTAGAAAGTAATTTTGGTAAATTTGAAAAACTAATAGTAGCAAGCTTTTCTTTTTTAATATTTTTTTTAGATAATGGAAATATCTTTTTTTTAATTAATTAGTTTTATTTATTTATGTAGTATTTAGGATCAAACCCAGTGCCTCACACTTGTTAGGCAAGACCTCTATCACTGAGCCACAACCCCAGCCCCTGTAGTACCAAGCTTTTAAGTAGATGGTAAAAATTTTCTGACCAAAGTCAAATATGTCATATGGATTTTACAACCTTTTTTACTACACTGATTTCACTTATTTCTATTTCTGTTTCAGAGATGCAAACACAATTTTTAGAGGAAACTCTCTGGCTACCCGATGTCTGGATGAGATGATGAAAATAGTGGGAGGGCACTACCTGAAAGTAACCTTAAAATCTACTCTAGATGAGGTAGAGTGCACTTCCTGTAATGATAGCCCCTGGCCTTGTTACAGTTTCTCTTTCAACAAGTTGTCTGTGGATGGGAAGGATCTGTCCGTTTTATTGAAAGAATAAGGCTAAACACTTGAGAAGTGGATTATTTACCTTAATTTCAATGGATTTTTACTCAAGGCACATTATAGTGTAATCTACATAAAGATTTGTTTTTGTAGTTCTGTTTTAGCTAGAGTTTCAAAGATATGAGAAATACTTTTTGATATAGTTCTTTAGGAAAACTGTATACTTTTATATATTATCTCTGGATGGGGGCTTTCAACTTTGCTGCAGTTTTAATTTTTATCATTAATTTATCAGAGAAAAAATTATTTTCATTTTGTCAAATTATTTAGAAAAGAACACTGACTGAGAAATTATTTTCCAGATATGTGAATCCTCAAAATCCTGTGAAATTGATCCTATTAAATTGAAAGAGGGAGATAATGTAGAAAACAATAAGGTAAGTTCTTATCATGCCTGCATTAAAAATTGGGTCTTATTGATGCACCAGTCTCCCATTATGTTGCATTAATGCTCTGTGAAAGGAAGCAGTGCTGTTTACTTTTGTTTACTTTTGCATTAGCCTACTATTCATAGCATCCCCTAGGACCAGCTTTTGTTTGTTTGTTTGTTTGTTTGTTTGTTTGTGATACTGAAGCTTGAACCTAGAGGTGCTCTACCACTGAGTTATACCTTCATATTTTTTTAATTTTGAGACAGGATCTCACTAAGTTGCCCAGACTGGCCTTGAACTTGTGAGCCTTCTTAGTCTCTGGGATTATAGGCATTTTCCACTATGGCAGGCCCAGGACTAGTTTTTAAGAATTTTACGTCAGTGGTTTCACTCTGTTTTTGTTTCTGATTATCTCATTCTTGGTTTTAGTAACAGTTGTGGAGCTAGGCTATATCTAGTTGCAGCCTACATTCTGACTATTCCTTGCAGGTCAGACTGATAAGGCTAAGTAGCATATTGACTTGGTCAGTCAATATTTTTAGTTGCCTCTGGGAAACTTATATATTAGGGTTCACAAGTTTTCATTGTTGTGAATAATAGTGTCACATTGTCCTGTTGTCGCATATCTTGAGTTATTTCCCTTTCCATCATTTTATTTTCTCTAGCTTCCTATGAAGTTTATTCTTATGGTCACGTCTTATGCCTAACAAGTCTAAATTTAATTGATTAAATTAGGTCAGACTGTTAATTGCCCTTTAACTGAATGAGATTAGAGACGGGAAACAGGGTTTTAGAATACTAGATAGTGACTGTCCAGTAAGTTTCATTTTCAGTGCATTTTTTTTCCCATAAAGATTGTTGAAGAAGTGTGGAAGTCAAATCTTAATGTTTCCTTTTAAATTTTGCAGGAAAATCTGCGTTACTATGTGGACAAGTTATTTAGTACAATTGTAAGATCAAGTATGAGCTGCCCCACTGTAATGTGTGATATCTTTTATTCTCTGAGGCAAATGGCTACTCAGAGATTTCCTAGTAAGTGCCTTATTTTACTAACTATAGCATTTGATGTACTACATTTTTGGTAGGAATTGTATGTTTTTGGTTTGTGTGAAATGTTTAAGATTCATAGGTACAGTTTTCTTTAGTTTTTGAAAATAATTCCTGCTTTTTCCTGAGACATCTGGTTTATTTTTCTTATAATCTCAAAACACATAGTCCATTTAGTTCAATATAATGGCAACTTTATTATATAAAGAACAATTCAAATCAAGAAACACAAAAATTTAGAACTATAAGTAAACCTACCATATGCTTATGAGTTTGTTAAATATAACAAAAAAATCTTTGTTATTTTAACCTTCTTTTCTGGATGCATGTATTCAAATAGTGATAATTTTTAGTTCCATACAGTTGACTAGATTTGACAGTTTTGAGAATGCTAAGGTTTTGGTGGTGAGATGTTTTTACAGAAATGGTCTTTAACATTGGAAACATTTCAGCTATGGACTGGGGATGTAGCTCAATGGTAGAGTGTTGCCTAGAAAAGTATTATGTTAAGACTTTGTTTGGAAATATTTCATAAAATTATAAGTTTCTCTTGTACTGTCAGTACTTGGAAGAACTCTTAATTTCAGTACATCTCTGATATGTAAATATACTGGCTATAGCTGTCTTTCCAGATCTGTATATAATGGAGGTGAGGGAGCTACTTAAATTATCAGTCTTTCCCAGCTATGTGAAACTGTAAGTTTATTTCTGTAGCCAAATGAAGAGATTTTGCTATTTTATTATTTTAAATGTATATGTTTATCTGCCCTGTGCTTAATTTACTCAGTACTAAAGTGGTGTGGCTGAGTTGTCTAACTTGAAGATAAGTTCAGATCTGGATATCTTGGCTATTTATAGTAAAGACATAAGCATTAACCTCAAATAAGTATGCTAAATTTAGTCCTTATAACAAAAATAAAGGGTATAGAGACATTAACATATGAGAAGATGAAATGCTGAGTCGGTTATATTTTTAAAATAGTGAATTAGATCATGCTAACCATAGTAACTATTTAATGAGCTAACAGGCACAGTGCTAGCCCAGAGCATCCTTTCAACACTGCTTGAGGTGATTACCACTCCTATTAGTTAAATAATGAACCCAAGGTCAAGTGAGATTGAGTAAGTCTCAAACCTGGGCCTTGCCTACTTCAAAGCATGGTTGCCCAGTGATCTTGGCCTTAAATCTGTTTATATAAATGATCTAAAACACACCTTATGATTTCTTTATAATTTCAACTGTATCTCTTTAACTATCTTTTTGTTGGCATCACTATTATTAGGTCTTCATATTGTCAGTCTACCCCAGTATTGGTAATTTTGTTGCTATGAAATATTTTCAGATTTTCTCATTTATTCTTACTACCCTGGGAATATGGATGGAGAGTAGACAGGCAGCCGGGGGCTGGGGGGGTGGAGAGCAAGTATTATTAAAGAACAACAAATTAAACAACTTGGTCGTGGTTATCTGTTGAGTGATTTATAAAGAGTTAAAACTTGACTCATACCCAGAGATTCTTTCTCTCACCACCTACTTCTCTACCATCTGATTGTCATGTTAGGTGTTTAGTCTGAAACAAATGCTGTAGATGAATGATCAAAGCCACCAGTAGTCTTCAGTTCATCTGCATTTTAATATGAAATGTTGATAGCTTTTCAAAGTAAAGATGTCTGACAAATTGTTTTTAATTATTCAGAAATCTTGATATCAGCAAGATTTTTAGGGAGGAATTAACAATAACCTAAAACTGAAAGGGATTTCAGTGTTACCACTAGGCAGTGCTAGATAACTACTTTTATTTTTGTTATAGTTTCAAGAGTTACTTCTGGTAGATGAGGAAGGAGGTATTTTTTTCAAATTAAAATCTTTCTAAAAGCTTAGTGGCTTTGCCTTTCATTTTCTTGAATATTATTTCTTTCAGATTATTTTAGGCATGTAGTGTTCTTTTAATTTAGTCATAATCATTACTATCATTTCATCAACTCGGTTCTTATTAGACAAATTATATTGCTCTCCAACTTAGTTTACATGTTTTTATGCTTTTTTACTTTATCATCTTTGTTTTTTAATTCAGTGTTTTGTGCATGACATTTCACCATTTTTTTCCTGCAGATGACCCTCATGTTCAGTACTCTGCAGTGAGCAGCTTTGTATTTCTTCGTTTCTTTGCTGTAGCCGTAGTATCACCTCATACTTTTCATTTGCGACCTCATCATCCAGTAAGTGTTCTTCTCAAAGCTTTATTCCATTTTTATTTATTTTTAGTAAAATGAAGGAAAGATAAAATAAGCCAATTTCACTTGACTCTTGTTTTCTTATAATTGATACTTAAATTTACTTGACATTTTTCTTGGCCATCAGCCAATCTTTTAGATAAGATTAAATTTTTTACTTGTTAAGAGATGTTTTTTTTTTTTTTACAGGAGTGATAAAATTCTGAAAATTATTGGTGATGAGCACAAAGGGGATTCATTATATTTTTCTCTCTGCTGTGTGTGTTTGTAAATTTTCATAATACAAGGTTTTTTTGGTTTTTTGTTTTAACCTCATTAGTTACAGATTTCATTTTGATTGTGGTGGTGGTTGTTTTGAGTGGTTGTTAACAGAAATTGTTTTACTAGTTTATTAAAATACTTTAGTCTTGTGGATATTTAAAAATCTCAGAGAACTCTAAATAGGCTCATTTAAAAAAAAAATTTAAGTTGTAGATTTAACCTTTATTTTATTTATTCATTTTTAGGAAGTGCTAAGAATTAAACCCAGTGCCTCATATATGCTAGGCAAGTGGTCTATCACTGAGCCGCATCCCCAGCCCTTCATTTTTGAAAAATGTAGGATCTTCTGTTGGAACATAATTTGGTAGCTCCATATATTACTTTTTATTTACCTGAGGTAGTATTGTAAATATATGAGATTTAAATTTTTTTAAGCTTACTGTCTTTTTGTTCTGAAGCCTTATTTATTTATTTATAGTTGTAGATGGACAGCATGCCTTTATTTTATTTGCTTTTTTTTTTTTTTTTTTGTATGTAGTGCTAAGAATCGAACCCAATGCCTCGTGCATGGCAAGCACTCTGACACTTGAGTCACAGCCATAGCCCCCTGAAGGTCTTATTCATATAATAAATAATAGCATTTATTTAGTGCTTACTTTCTGCTATGCCTGTTCTAACTGCTTTAGTTCTCCTAGTAAGACTTGGAATAAATTCTTTTATCACACCCAGGTACAAGTAAGGAAATCACAATACAGTAATTTCTTTAGGATCACACAATAAATAACTGATTAGATCTTACTCAATTTGGACTGAAATATTCTAACTCAGTCTTCAGTCTGAGTTTTTAACCCTGTTTCTTCCAACCTCTAAGATAGACATTAAGGACTTGTGCTGTATTAAATATTATGCTCAGTACTGGCAATGCCCTCAAGAATTTCACAGTCCAGAAGAGTTGCTTATTAAGTAATAAATACAATGTAGGGAAGACATGTACGTTTTAGAGTTAAACTGGGTTGAGTAATCATTCTTTCTGGATAGCTACATGACCTTGGCTACTCATTTAATTTTGTGAAAACTAAATAGAACCACGTTGCAGTGACAGCAACATACCCTTTCTTCTCAAAGGACAAATGTTCTGCATAGTCATAACACAGAGCGGGCCTTTGTTCGCAGGGCTGTCCTTTCTGTTTCCTCTGTTACTTAAGTTATACAGACCTCTGGGGCAGTGAAACCTTGGTAGCAGCATTTTGTACACAAACAGAACTCCCACCTCTGAACCCGTGGCTCTGTCTTGTACTTAGACTTGGAATTCCATATTCCTGTAACAGATGTTGAAATTAAATCCTTTTAATCATAGACTGTGTTTTAGGTCACTATTTTCCAATAAGTATTCCAAAAAGACTGCTTCAAAACTGCTATATAATTTTATTATTTGCTTTTATCTCCAATTTTATTGCAATTTTTTCTTTCTTTCGTCATTCCTGGTGAGGCTTGAACCACATTTCTGCTTTGTTTTAAGAACCTTTGAGTCTAATTGTCATTAACAGGACAATACTTATGATAAACAATCTAAAACTCTATACATAAATTTAAAGCTAGCTTAGTACCAAGTAAGGAGTTTAGATAGGTTGATTCTGCTATAGAAACTTGAGAGCAGGCAATGAATGATCCCAGTGACCAGCGATGATGACATTGTCAAGACCAGTATTGAGGGGTACTGAGTAGTTTGGAGAACTGATGAAAAGTTGGTGGATTTTATACCTAGAAATTCATTGAATTGTGAGAAAGTATTTTAATAGAGTAGAAGAGAAGCAAGTCAGATTGCAGAAGATGAAAGAATGAGTAGATAGATACAGTTTATCCTAGAAAATATATCAAAAGTGAGCTTTCCCTGCTGCTAAAAGACACTGACAAATTCAGGAATATACACATGCATATGCGTGTTTGTGTGTGTGTGTGTGTGTGTGTGTGTATGGATGATTTTTTTTTTAAATTTACGGATGATATTAACAGTGACATGGTAGACCACTTTTGAGAAGTTTAACAGCAAAATGAAGAAAAGGACTATCCTTCTCTACTGCCATTCTCTCATTAATAGCTCCTTTTAAGACCCAGCCAAGGCAGACTTTTTTAACCTGCTAGTCTGGTTGTATGCCTGTCTTGTGCCTGTAGTATTGTGTGGCTCTCCTAGTCATGACATTTTTCATGCTGTTGTATGAACATCTGTGTACAGTCTTCACTTGTGGGCTATTAATACATGAAGAGCAGAACAGGAATATGTTCCAGATTTGTGTATCCTAAGCACATGGCACAGTGTCTAGGACAAGTAAATGCTCAAGTGAGTAAGTGAGTGAATGATGAAAGATGGTGAGAGCTTATCAAATGATGAGTGTGGTTTAAATAGAGGGAGAGATTGAAGAGAGAAGGGATATACTACCAGATCAATATCCCATAGGATTCAGAAAGAGTGTCTTTAAAAGAAAAAGCAGTAAAATAAACCTTGGAGAAAAGATTGAAAGATCATGGTGAACCATATGAAAAATGTTTCTGTAGACCAGAAATAGACAAATAATAGCACTTTCATATGATTTAACCTAATACAAGGAAAAAGGATAGGAGAATGGTTACTAGGTTAGTTTGGGGTGAGAAATTCAACGTTTTAATTTAATAAATGTTATATAGCATCTAATGAGTGCCAGTGGCAGGATGTGTAGTAGGTGCCATTGAGTAGGTAAATCCTGATCATCTGTGACTCATCTGTGAAAAATTATAGTGAGGGGAAAATTTAGTACAGCTTATACAGAAAGTACATCAGGGAATCAACAGCAGCCAGAGTGATATAATTGTCAAACAGTATGGAAGACCATGTTGATGTAAATAAGCTTCTGCTGTTCTGAAATTGAATAAAATGTTTTGTTCCCTTTTACTGATTCAAGGAAGAAGTAATCTAAACCACTGAATTTAAAACAAAATTTGACTGGAAAAGTCTTAGTGAAATTCAGTTCAAATTCAGTTTACCAGGACACCTGAAGAATATTACTTTCTTAAAAGGCGGAGAATTTTAGGGCCTTTCATAGACATAATGGAACCTGGGTGTTCCAACTAAAGTATTTTCTGATTAACCTTAATCCAGCTCTGTAACTGTTTTGTAAGTATCTTACAGAGGTCATTTCCCAGATAGTCCTTCTTTTCCAGATTGCCTCACATCCTGGTTTTTTCTTCCTCTTTCATTTTCATTGTGGGGATTTTCATTGTGCAGATTCTGTTTTCATTTCTGTTTTCACTGCCTGTTTTCATTGTGGGGATACTAAGAAAATTAAGGAATGTCAACTAAAAATTATACTTGACTACATCTAAATTTTCCTGAATTTTCTTTTAATGGAAGGTATTGTTTTACTTTGAATCCCTAAAACAAAGAAAAATGGTCTGTGTCCTGGTGGGGTGTAGTTGATTCCATGGATATGTGGATTGGTGAAAACTCAGCAGGCTATACATCTAAGACCTAGTCACTTCACTGTATGTAAATTATATCTCAGTTTATAAAAATAAAGAACAATGGCTTATGAGAAGGGGCTAGAGAATAGCTCAGGGGTAGAGCTCTCACCTAGCAAGTGTGAGGACTGGGTTCAATCTTCAGCTCCACGAAAAACAAAACTCATGAGAACACCATTTGATCAATTTTATTTACATTTACTTTTTTCAGGTAGGCAGGCCTGTAAAAACACTCTAGATAATAGACCAAATAGTTACCTTCGAGTAAGATTCTAAGTGAATGGGGTGACTACTCATTTCCTAGTCTAGCTTTATGTCTTTACTTTCATGGTGAAAAGAGTTGATTGCAGAAGCCATATAAATTATTGAATATGCTAAATGGATTGAGCTCAGAAAATTTGGAAACTACTATTTTAAGTTATAAGTTAGAGAAAAGTAGATAACAGTCAACATTCCAAAAACGAATATGATTTGTCAGGTAGATACTTTCCATATTGTACAAAATAACTTGTTTATAGTATTAGTTAAATTATGGCTTTCAGAAGTAACACATCAATCATTAAATATAATTACTGTGAGAGGAATTTTCAATTACATGTGCCTTCTTCAGTCTCCTAATTCCTTAGTTCAGTGAGTTGTGTGCCGCCTTGTTTATATTATCTATGTTGGTGATTTGAATGAACTCTTTTGAGTCACTGTTTTAGAGACATGCAGCTCATTCACTCTACTTTTTATACAAATTGTGTTTCTTGAAAACTTAACGAGAATTTTGGTCTTCTTGAATTCTCTAGGATGCACAGACAATTAGGACATTAACTCTCATCTCAAAAACCATTCAAACTTTGGGAAGCTGGGGGAGCCTTTCCAAAAGCAAGGTGAGTCTTCACATATTTTCTTTTCACACTTCTAATTATTGTTCTATCTTATGATTCACCTACCTCCTTCCATATTAAAATCAAAACCGGGGAGGGGAAAAATTATATACACATAGATGCAATAGTTATCTTTTAGGTAGATGTTGCATCTTAGTCACCTATTAAAAAAGACAGTTTTACTCATCCTGACACACCTGAGGAGGGAGAAGTCCAGTAAGTAACTTCAGGAGCAATCTGGTTATCTAACCATCTATGCCATAATCTCCTACCATCTTTAAAAGAAGTCCTCAGCTCCAATCCCTATTATCTGGATATATATAATCAAACCCTTTCAACCCTTAATCCTCAGCTTAAAATAAAGTCCATTATTTTCTTAGTTCTCTACTTACCCATAAATTCTCTGTTTTTTCTTAGTCAAGTTTCAAAGAGACATTCATGTGTGAATTTTTCAAAATGTTTCAAGAAGAAGGATATATTATAGCAGTTAAAAAGGTATGTTTTTTTTTTTCTGAAAATAATAGCATGTCATATTATTATTCCTAGGAGTCAACCTCCAGTTTAAAAAAAGAATGTTTAAACTATCCATCAAAAATACTCTCCCCCACCACCACCAACTTTTCCTCTCATAAAAAGCTATGGGTTTTGTAGTGGAGGGGGATGGCTTAGTGAGCGATAGAGCATCTATCTAACATGCACAAGGTCCTGGGTTTAATCCCCAATATTGCAAAAAAAAGAAAAAAAAAGTCATGAGTTTTTCCACTAAAACAGTGTCTAAAGAAGTTTTAGGAACAGCTACTCTTGCCACAAATTATAAAATTTCTATAGTTAAGGTTTCTTGACAGTAACACTATTTGGAGCCAGATAATTCTTGATTGTATAGGACTGACCTGTTTTAATTATAGGATGTTTAGCAATATACCTGAAATGTCAGTACATCCCTGGTTTTCACAACCAGAAATGCTCCAGATGTTTCTAAGAGTCTCTGAAGAATAAAATTGCCTCTAGTTGAGAACCCCTGGTCTAGGGGTAAAGGCCTAATGTGCCTGTAATATAAGGGACATTTAATTACCATAGTAAAAATATATGAATTATTGAACATTTAATGAGTAACACATTTGTGGCAGTAACCAAAGGTATGTTACCAAAAAATTAAAATATTCAGATGGCTATAGTATATACCATCCTAACATGAGGGTTGAAACAAAAAGAAACTATGTGCTTCAAAGTTGAGAATGTTTTGAATGTCTTTAATTTCTTTAGTCTTTTTAAGCAAATATATGAAATACATTTTTTATTTGCTCTTTTTAGATATACACGAAAGTAGAGTATATTTTGACATATTATATATACATGGTGTATAACTACTCTAATTAGGATCCCATTCTTGTGGTTGCATATGATGTGAAATTACACAAGTCGTGTATTCATATATGAGCATAGGAAAGTGATGTCCAACTCATTCTACTGTCTTTCCTATTCCCCACTTTTCTCCTCTCCCTTCATTCCCTTTTGTCTAATCCAATGAACTTCTATTCTTCCCCTCCCCATCCTCCCTTGCTCGGGATTAGCATCCACATATCAGAGAGAACATTTGGCCTTTGGTTTTTTTAGGATTGGCTTATTTCACTTAGCATGATAATCTCCAGTTTCTTTCATTTACTGGCAAATTTCATTCTTCTTTATGACTGAGTAATACTCTATTGTGTATATATACATTTTCTTTATCCATTGATTTGTTGAAGGGCACCTAGGTTGGTTCAATAGCTGAGCTATTATGAAATTGAGCTGCTATAAACATTGATGTGGCTGCATCATTGTAGTATAAACCAAGGAGTGGAGTAACTAGGTCAAATGGTGGTTCCATTCCAAATTTTCTGGAATTTTTCCAGCAGTGTGGGACAATTGAGTGTACCTTTTCCTTCACATCCTTGCCAACATTTGTGGTTGCTGTGTTCTTGATAATTGCCATTCTGACTGGAGTGAGGTGAAATCTCAATTTTAATTTGCATTTCTCTGATTTCTAGAAATGATGAACATTTTTTCATATATTTGTTACTTCTTCCTCTGGGAAGTGCCTATTCAGATCTTTTAACTGTTTATTGATTGGGTTATTTGGTTTTCTTCTGGTGTTAAGTTTTTTTATTTCTTTCTATATCCTGCAAATTAATGCTGTATCTGAGGTACAGGTCGTAAAGATTTTCTCCCATTCTATTATAGGCTTTTTCATTTGATACCATTTTATTTATTGATTATTGATTTTACTTCTTGCACTTTAGGGGTCTTATTGAGGAAGTCGGTTCCTGTGCCCATATGTTAGAGTTGGGCCTACCTTTTCTTCTAGTATGTTCAGGATTTCTGGTCTTATACCTAGGTCCTTGATCTACTTTAAGCTGAGTTTGTGTAGGGTGAGAGATTGGGGTTTAATTTCATTTTGCTACATAAGGATTTCCAATTTTCTCAGCACCATTTGTTGAAGAGGCTATCTTTTCCCCAGTGTATATTATTGGTGCCTTTGTCTAGTATGAGGTACTATATTTTTGTGGGGTCATCTCTGTTTCTTCTATTCTGTTCCATTGATCTATTTACTGTTTTGGTGCCAATGCCATGCTGTTTTTGTTACTAGAGTTCTATAATATAATTTTAGGTCTGGTATTGTGATGCCTTCTTGATAAGGATTGGTTTGGCTATTGCTAATTTTTCAAGATGAATTTCATTAGTGCTTTTTCTATTTCCATGTAGAACATCATTGGAATTTTGATGGGAATTTCATTGAATCTGTATAGCACTTTTGGTAGTATGGTCATTTTGACAATACTAATTCTGCCTAGCCAAGAACCTGGGAAGTCTTTTCATCTTCTAAAGTGCCCCTCAATTTCTTTCTTTAGTTTTCTGTAATTTTCATTGTAAAAGTCTTTCATCTCTTTTGTTAGATTAATTCCCAGGGAATTTTTTTTTTTTTTTAGTAGAAGCTATTGTGAATAGGATGGTTTTTCTAATTTCCCTTTCAGCTGATTTGTCATTGGAGTTTAGGAACACAATTGATTTATGAGTGTTAATTTTTTATCCTGCTTTAGGAGTTCTAGAAGTTTTGTGGTGGAGTATTCTGAGTCTTCTAAATATAGAATCATGTCCTTAGCTAGCAGAGATAGTTTTAGCTCTCCTTTTCCTATTTGTATCCCTTTCATTTCCTTCTTTTGCCTGATTGCTCTGGCTAGAGATATTCGAGGACTGTGTTGAATAGAAGTGGTGAAAGTGGGTATCCCTGTCTTGGTCCTGCTTTAAGCCTGTTGATATAATGAATAATATTTATTGATTTCCGGATATTGAACCAACCTTGCATCCCTGGGATGAAAACCTGGGGAGTTCTTATTCACAATAACTATATAATTTGGTATCTGTACCAGGACACTTTTAAGAGTAATAAGGAGTATAAGCCTATTAAGTCCTAAGTTTCCAATATAACCAATGGCATGTAAGTTAAACTGAATTTTTTTTTTTATGATGTACCTTTTTGCATGGTGTAATATTTGCCCGTTTCTCCATTTAGTTCTTGGATGAAATTTCATCGACTGAAACTAAAGAGTCCAGTGGTACAAGCGAGCCTGTGCACCTGAAAGAAGGGTAATTGAATGAAACTAGACATGAAAGTTATGTTTCAGTGTAAACATTAAATACAAAGAGCATGGGTCTAGGAATGAGTTTCTGTTCTTATGCTAGGACTGCCTAGGTCACATTAGTCAGGTAGGTCACCCTCATTGTCCTTCAAATTAACAGAGGGCCACAACTCCCTGTCCATAATAATCCCATGTTGTTTCAGTGAAATAGGTATTAGAATAGTTAGAAAAAGTGACAGCGTTATTCAGTTTTAAAGTAAGCTAATCATGATAGGAAATTAAGGGGGCGGTTCCTTATTTGGCCCTTTTTACTCTGTATGTAGCATAATTTTAAATACTATATTAATTAAAGACTTCATCTCCTAGTACCACCAAAATAAATACAAGAATCATAAATAACAAAAATATTGTCATATACTTATTACAATTTTGCATGTCATTTAAAATTAAAGGATCATTCTTTGTTATGGATGAACCAATTGAATTTTGTAGCTAAATATTTACCTCTTGTTTTGACAGTGAAATGAATAAAAGAGCTCAGGGAAGAACTCGAATTGGAAAAAAGAATTTCAAGAAACGGTGGTTCTGCTTAACCAGCAGGGAGCTCACCTACCACAAACAGCCAGGTAGTTGTGTTTATGCTTTATTGTGGGTTTTTCCCTCCAGTTCTCAGTGAAGCTTTCCTTTTTGTTTCTTTTCTTTCTTTCTTTTTTTTTTTTTTTTTTTGAGAGAGAGAGAGAGTTTTTTAATATTTATTTTTTAGTGGATATGATGTGTCGGTGGACACAACATCTTTATTTTATTTTTAGGTGGTGCTGAGGATTGAACCCAGCGCCCCGCGCATGCCAGGCGAGCATGCTACCGCTTAGCCACATTCCCAGCCCCTCCTTTTTGTTTCTTAATTCACTATAGTGAATTCTTTCAAAGTAGTAAAATGTCTCATGGTGATATAAAGAATAAAATAGATAGCTGACAAGTGACACCATGTAAATTATATTTTTTGCACACATTGAATTTCTTGTGTTACTAGAAATGACATTTTTTTCAGTATGTTTTGTTTTCTGAAATACCCTGGTAAATTCCTATTGTTCTAGTCAGTATAGAAGGAAGAACAGTTAAACACCTTAGTACTTGGAAGTTACTTTAACTCTTAGGCATATCAGTAGGATTCAATATCAAACGAACAGGACTATTTCTGTAATTTCTTTTTTTTTTTTAGAAGACATCAGCTAAAATTCACCACAGTCATACCATAGATTGTGGTCCCTGTACAATTGTCAGATTCATTGTAGGCTATTGCCCAGCCTAACCCAAGATGGAGGTTTTTAATAGTTTGCCTCCTAAAAAGACTGTTGTCACAAATGGGCTATTAGGGTAAAGAAAGCCGTCTTTCTACAGTGTGATTGAGAGGTATAGAGAGGCAATTTGTCCCTGAGAGGGTAAAGCATTGTCTACAGTTAAAGCATTATCTGTCGTAAAGCATCTACATACAGAAGACCATTAGCTACTGATAATTTAGCAAGAATAATTATAATGTCAAGGCCCTAGATCACAAATAGTAGAATCTCATTCATCTGAAGTGATCAGGATCCTAAGATATTCACTTAACCAAGAAGCTGAGTAAAGAATCATTTAAAAAATAAAACAAAAAGATGCTTATTCTTAGTATTTATAATTTTTTAGCATTTTGTTTAGTTTTGGTTGTGTGTGTGTGTGTGTTGCTGAGGATTGAATCCAGGACCTCAGCCTATTTGTTTACCGTCTTTGGATAAAGAGCCCCAGTCTTTGAGTACAACAGTATAGACTGGAGTATAGATTGTACTTCCTCCTTTGTCTTTTTTGTGTAAATATATTTCTGATGCTTCAGTTTTCAGGTTGAATTTTTTCCAAAGTGAATCTAGATCTGAAAGAGAATCCACGTACAGAATCCTTTTAGATTTTCAGGATAGTCACCCTGAATTTCCTACCTTCTGTCTCACCCCAACATCAGTTTTATTTGTATGGGCATGGGTTTTCTTTTTCAAAGTCTTTTCAAAAAAGTCTTTTCCTGGCTTTCAAATAAATGATAAACTTATTAGTAGAGAGACTTATTTTGTCACTTTATATAATATTTACAATATGGAGAACTGGTATAGTTTTGGGAGCAAAGCCAATGGAATTGGTAAGCAAAATAGCCTAACCAATGGAAGTGGAAAGGTGTAGGCATAACAGAATAGCCTAGGGACCAGAAATATTCAGTATCTCATGAGCATCTCTCAGTGGATTTTACAAAGGAAGTGAAAAATCTTATTAGTTAATCCATCAAGTCTCTTAGATGAAGATCTGGTAAGAGAGCTTCCACTATAAATTCTAGAATGATAACAAACATCAGATACAAGATACTTTTGAGAGACTGTAGGCACAATTAAATAGACTGCTTCACTGGAGATTAGAAGAATAATAAGAATAGAAGAATAATTTAAAAAATACGAAAATAATAAAAATAATAAGAAAAAAAATTTTTTTAAGAGACTGAGTTTCACTGTGTTTCCCAGGCTGGTCTGAAACTCCTGGGTTCAAGTGATCCCCCTGCTTCAGTCTCTGAAGTAACTGGGTTTACAGGTATGTGCCATCATACTAGCTAAGAAAAAAAAAATTTTTGTTCCATAATTCTTTAGGAACAGCTTAGCCAAATTATATGTCCAAATGTATTAGTAAAAAACAAAATGCATTGTATTTTTAGACACCCCATTTCTTATAGCAGATAAATACTAAGACAAAGATCAGTGGGATATAGATAGGATATTTCAAATATTTTAGAAATTGCAGCTTATATTGATTATGTTCTCACCTGTGAAGCATAGGTACCAATTATGTACACTTAGTTATGTTTACATTTAAATAAATGAGTTACTTTTTCCTCACTTAAAGCATTTCTAATCTAAACCAATACTCTAGAGTCATTTGTTTATAATCTTCTTTAAGAATTATATAATAGCTATGAGCCCTTCTAGAAAATCGAACATAGAACATAGACACAAGATTTTGCATTTAATTTCACAGAGTTCATAAACCTTGAACCACTGTTCTGTCCAATGGCTTTAAGAGGATAAAATTTTATAGAATTAGGTCACTGTTGTATAAAACAGACACCATGGAACTGCGTTGTTTTCGCAGTTGTTGGAGGAATGAGACAAAGGAGGTTTTAAGATTATTTCCCGAAGCCTACAGTTAAGCATTCATGCTTTTTGTTTTAACTATTTTGATGAATTTTTCTCAAACTGTATTACATGCTTTCCTGACTTCTATAAAAGAATTCATTAAATGAAAGTTTACTTTTTCTAGTTGACTTGGGGCTGTTATTAATAATATTATTATGTGGTACTCTGATTTCGTGATATTTTCAGGGCTACTTATGGGTGTGTGCAGCTGTTTATTCCAGCTAAATGCCTTTACTCCCCAGCTGACCTGGACTGTTCTGCTTTTTATGTACTCTGTGTTTGTATTATGCAGTTTTCTTCATCTTATGGTCAGGCTGTCTACTTAAATTCTTTGTGTTGTCAGGAAACCATTACACAGCATCCTGTTCCCATCTCAATCACCAGCCTCCACTTTTTGCTGCTAAGTTTCTGTAAATGAGGGTGCCCGAACTATATTTGTTAAAATTATGCAAAAGATTACAAGGCTTCCAGTGAAGTTAGTAGGACTTTTCCCTATGAATAAAGTACATGGGCTTTGCATTTCCTGGTTGTTCAGCAGATGTTTTGCTTACTTCCTGTTTCCTTGCTGTTTTCTAGGTAGCTAGGTACCAGTTAAGTAATCTCTTGATATATTTACTGTGTAACTACGGTGTCTGAAAGAATGCCTCCCAGATTTTCTATAGCACAGCTTTACATAATTGAATCTTTCACTCAATCTCCTGCTAAAACATATTATTCTGAATCAATATTTCTATCGCAAAGAAACAGATAAGTGGTCTCTTTCCAGTTTTCTTGAAAATGAATTAATAGAATTTTCTCAGTGTTAAGGATTTTTATCCAGTAAATTGTTGAATTTTTGATGTCCACTTACACAGTTACTAATAAGCAATAGTAAGCAAATTATCTTCAGTATAGTTAAATTAATGTGTAGCAAATGAGTGTTAATCAAACACTCAATCAGCTATCAGTAATGATTACCTTGACAGCTTTTTGTTGATATGTTGATTGTGCTTATGATTATGATTTTATATTACTATACTATAATGTAGTCATATTCTACAAGGAAAAATTCTCCTAGTTGTATGCTGAAATTAAAAGTTATTTATGTTCCAGTGTCTTTGTGACTCATCCATTCTCATTTTTTGCATTTTCCATATAGGACCATACCAAACTGGCTCTTATAGTTCCTTTAAATTGTGTTTTTTACATTCATGCTTCTGCATATGCTCTATCTAGAAATCCTCTTTTTTTCCTTCTTCCATTGTGTAATCTGGTGTCCTTTAAGCTTCAAATTAAATATCAGCTCTTTATAGATGTTATTTTAAGCCTGTAGCCACCTCAGTATAGCTATTCCTTTATTGTACTTTCTTAGCCCCCTAGCTTTATAACATCTGGTGCAGTATAGTCACTACTTTTATCAGTCTCTTCCCCTAGTCTTTTAACATGCTCTGTGGTAATGGCCATATTATTGGGGGCATAAAGGCATTTAGTAAATGTTCTTCAGAGAACACCAGGTCTTTCAGATGTGCTATCATCTGAATTACTTTGAGAACCACAGCTCTAAGTTTTACTAAACATACTAATAGGTTATTAACAAATTTGTCTTTGAAATTCCTTTCTATAAAATTTGATATTATCTACTTTTGAAAACGTTATTACAATAATAAGGGGAGAGAAAATAATGCCTTAACCCAGTTGGTTGCAGTGGAAGTGATAAAAATGGATCCCATTCCTGATCTCTTTTAAAGATAGTCATCAGAGGATTTGCTCAAGGACTAGATACTAGGAGTGAGAGAGGCACCAACAACTAGAGGGATGATGTTATCTTTTTAAAAATAAATACATGGAGGTGGGCATGGTGGTGCACACTTTCCCCCATACCCATAAAATTACTTCCAGCCTATGCAGTGTGAAGTGGCTAAAATTCAAGCAGAAACCTGCAGTTTTATTAGTTTGAATATCAAAGGATGGAGTTCAGGGCTGGCAGATAGGCTGGATGTGGAGGTGAGGAGAAGAGAAGCCATTCAATCTGCATCTGAAATCCATAGCTGACTATTAGTTTGATCATGCAAGGGGAAATGCCAAAGAGGCTCATGAAAAGCAATAACTGAAAAATTTTAAAAGATGAGCAAAGATTTTAGCTTTTGTCCTCCTCATGGGAGATAGACTTTAGAATTTTACTTAGAAAAGTTTAGTAAACACCCCAGAATTTTCATGGAAATCTTAAAAAGGTGGTGGTTTAGGAGGATTAAGAATAGCAAAGTATATGGGCTGGGGGTGTGGCTCAAGCGGTGGCACGCTTGCCTAGCATGCGTGCGGCCCGGGTTCGATCCTCAGCACCACATACAAACAAGGATGTTGTGTCTGTCGAAAACTAAAAAAAATAAAATAAAAATTCTCTCATATAAAAAAAAAAAAAGAACAGCAAAGTATAACCAGGCATGGTGGTA